GAAACAATACGATAATACGTCTTTAATCTTTCTTCATATGATTTGCTCCTGGTTGATCTGAAAAAGATTTAATGTTAGAGAATCAAATACACCAAAGGTATAATCATAAATTTACCGTCTTCATCATCGTCTGCATCCAAAATATCCGGGACACAAGTACCATAACAAATCAATGATAAAAATCCTGCTGGTAAACCGAACAAGACCATTGTTAAAATAGGATCACTCTTCCATAATGCAAAAAGACCTGTTTTCTTTTCAAACCATGACCTGTATATACGTATTAATAAACTGTTTCCACCATATCGCTGAAAACATAGATCTTAATATTTCAACGTCTAAAACAACTTGGAACCTATCAGAAGAGAACATTTTATTTACCGGAGCACTTTCATTTCGAATTTGCTCTAGGAACAACTCTATCACATAAGGAGTCAGTTTTTCCGCTTCATCCTCCGGAAGATGATGGTGATTTGTTGTAGTATTAATCACGATTAAACTTGGCAATGGTAAAACCGTCATTGCTATTTTATTGACTACATCATGACTAGATGTCCAACCAAACTGAAAATGGCTAAACGCACAAACAGTAATTACAATTATCTGTGTATCTTGAGCAGAATGAACAAAAACGAAATTAATAATGTAACTTACTCGTGGTATTTATGTCGTTTACTTTTTATTATAGATTCTACCATATCTTTAAATCGTAACATATGCGGCGGTACTTCTTCCAGTTGATTTTCTTCAACTACTACCAAAACTAAATTCTTATTTGTCAGGTAAAGCTGATTTATATTTCCGCTCGTTACTTTTGGGAATGTCGGAAAACGCTCTGCATTTATCCATTTGTATACTGTCTCATTTAACTTTTCTACATCTTCTATATCGTGACCTGTATTATAAGAAATTAATAGTTATTACAAATGTATTTAGAAATAATACAAATGTTTTCCATAAGGTATTTACCACTAAAATTATAATGTACATTTTCCTTATAAACGAATAACGCTGGGACTTTTTCTACTGGAGCGTGTTTATTAACAACCATTGGATGGCTTTGATAGAAAAACGCGTGTGGCTGGAACATGTCTGCAGTCTTGTGATAGAATTCCTAAATATAAAAAATCTTCATTATTATATTAACATTTCTACTTTCTACTATATCATGAATTAAACTATAATAAGTTAGTTGAATTTACCCATAATATCCCGGATCTTTCACCAACGTATAAAAAGTATAGATCACGTTCCTTTTTAATTGTGTCGAAGCTTTGAGTTTTCGTTATCTCTTGAACGGGTGGACCGCTTACTCTTAATGCGAATTTTACTATTTCATCTAGCGTTCTATCTCCATGATATACAAATTCTTGCTCTCCTTTCAGGCTATGTGTAAATAAGGAATATTATGTTAAGCACATCAAACTTATGTTAAATGATTGTTTTGCTTACAATAGGATAGTTGGAAATCCTGTAACTTTAAAAGCATGAGTGACACTTGTAAATCTAGAGCCGTCAACACGTCCTACACGTATTGATGTTGCGTGTAAATGTTGAGCCACATGAGTCCAAATTGGTTCTATCCTTTTACAATATACACACCAAGGTGCATACATCTGCAAAGAAAATTATCTAACACTTGCATAAAACATATTTAGAATGCTGTATACTTGTACCATTATCAGCCATTGTCCATCTTTATGAATGTCCAAAATTCTATGGCAAATAATAAAAAATTAATATGTATATAGTTCTAATATAAACAAACATAATTTATTACATACCTATCGCTTAGCTCAACTACACGAGATGCTATTACAGGAGTAAAAATACCTGAAAGAGCTGAATTGTTTCAATAATACTAACTGTGTTACAAAATAATGCACAAAATAGATTTATAGACAAATAAATATTTAAAATAATTGTTCACATCTAATTATGATCAATAACTGATATTCTTTGTTTAAATAATACATTTATTAAAAATGTTCGTGTAGAAACTGCAAATCTACCGAAATTGAATTAAATGTATGCCAAACATTAAGCTACAGCGTATTATCGATCGATTGTCTCATAGGTTACCAACAATTTACTTGATATTGCTTTTCCATTTGCAAAACATTAATACAAATTCGGTAATCAGATTTCACAGATAGTTAATCGGTACAAGTAAATTTACCATAAATAACTGTAATCAGCACCAATTTCGTTATTGTTACCATTGCAGCGGAAAGGCTTTTTATCGGGGAAAAACTGCCTCCGTTAAATTTCAACCTCCGAAATATTCCGTTCAAACAATTTACTCTCACATAATTAGAGCGATTAACGTTTTTTAGCTGTTGAATTGAAATCCGCACTTCAATACCCAGTACACCTCTACCATGTTTTCATTCGATGACGCCATATGAACTCCAACCGAATACCGGCTTGTGAATCGTAAACCGCTGACTTTTGTACATATAATTTCATGAATTCAGTAGTATTTGGAAATAAAGATTAATATCATACTTATCCTCTTTTATTTCAATCGTTTAATTATTTTTTCACTAGAAACAATATGCTTAAAAAATATTATNAACTATAATAAGTTAGTTGAATTTACCCATAATATCCCGGATCTTTCACCAACGTATAAAAAGTATAGATCACGTTCCTTTTTAATTGTGTCGAAGCTTTGAGTTTTCGTTATCTCTTGAACGGGTGGACCGCTTACTCTTAATGCGAATTTTACTATTTCATCTAGCGTTCTATCTCCATGATATACAAATTCTTGCTCTCCTTTCAGGCTATGTGTAAATAAGGAATATTATGTTAAGCACATCAAACTTATGTTAAATGATTGTTTTGCTTACAATAGGATAGTTGGAAATCCTGTAACTTTAAAAGCATGAGTGACACTTGTAAATCTAGAGCCGTCAACACGTCCTACACGTATTGATGTTGCGTGTAAATGTTGAGCCACATGAGTCCAAATTGGTTCTATCCTTTTACAATATACACACCAAGGTGCATACATCTGCAAAGAAAATTATCTAACACTTGCATAAAACATATTTAGAATGCTGTATACTTGTACCATTATCAGCCATTGTCCATCTTTATGAATGTCCAAAATTCTATGGCAAATAATAAAAAATTAATATGTATATAGTTCTAATATAAACAAACATAATTTATTACATACCTATCGCTTAGCTCAACTACACGAGATGCTATTACAGGAGTAAAAATACCTGAAAGAGCTGAATTGTTTCAATAATACTAACTGTGTTACAAAATAATGCACAAAATAGATTTATAGACAAATAAATATTTAAAATAATTGTTCACATCTAATTATGATCAATAACTGATATTCTTTGTTTAAATAATACATTTATTAAAAATGTTCGTGTAGAAACTGCAAATCTACCGAAATTGAATTAAATGTATGCCAAACATTAAGCTACAGCGTATTATCGATCGATTGTCTCATAGGTTACCAACAATTTACTTGATATTGCTTTTCCATTTGCAAAACATTAATACAAATTCGGTAATCAGATTTCACAGATAGTTAATCGGTACAAGTAAATTTACCATAAATAACTGTAATCAGCACCAATTTCGTTATTGTTACCATTGCAGCGGAAAGGCTTTTTATCGGGGAAAAACTGCCTCCGTTAAATTTCAACCTCCGAAATATTCCGTTCAAACAATTTACTCTCACATAATTAGAGCGATTAACGTTTTTTAGCTGTTGAATTGAAATCCGCACTTCAATACCCAGTACACCTCTACCATGTTTTCATTCGATGACGCCATATGAACTCCAACCGAATACCGGCTTGTGAATCGTAAACCGCTGACTTTTGTACATATAATTTCATGAATTCAGTAGTATTTGGAAATAAAGATTAATATCATACTTATCCTCTTTTATTTCAATCGTTTAATTATTTTTTCACTAGAAACAATATGCTTAAAAAATATTATATGTTACAATATGCAACTTAATATTTGGATAATTAGATTATGATGAATGAAGATAGAGAAAATATAAAAAGCAAAACATTCTTTTTGTAACACACGCACGATTTTCGCTACTTTTCGTACCTATTATGCGAGCCTAAAGTAA